GTGAGAAAGTTATTTATTAGCCCAGAACCCAGTGACATAAAGCAACTTAGATGAAGAGTATAGTTTCTGCAAGAAGATTTTCTTGCACCTTCTCATCAGGCAGAAAGGTGGATTGAAGTGAGAATAGGGAGGAACGCAGAAAGTATCTTTCCCATGTTTTGCAAAGAAAATCTCTTAAGAGTTGTTTTATGCAACTGTGCACTGGAGTGAAATTTTGAAGATATTTAATTTGTTTCGGCAAATATCCTGTTATGTAATACAATTAGGATGCATCATTCAATAATAGCTACATTTCACCTAGAGGCTCAAACTATGTCTTATGGTTAGTTTAAAGAAAATGTTTATGTCTTTATGTTTTTATTGTTATTCTTAAGTCACAAATTTGTGCAAGTGAGATTGTGAAGTTGCTACCTTTGGGAGGTTATGAGCAGGGTTTTGTTATTTTCAGTGGTCAAATATTGTTTAGAAAACATGATGATAGCCTGCGAGCAAGCTCTCCAGTTGGGGGGGGGGGGAGAAATCATGCTACAGCATGCTGCTTGCTGCCATGTTCCCCGGTGGCCTCAATTAGTTCGCCATAACTGGAGAGCTTGCTCGTAGGCTAACATGATTAAATTACACATTATGAATGTGGGAACTCTGGGTATCTCATTACAGTTAACTTGTTCTAAGAACTACAGAATTTGAAATAATATGAATAAAATGCATTTTGTAAATTATTTTTTTTCCAGTTTGTATTAATATGGTCCTTACAGATCTCCATGTTACATCATATTATGTTAAGTGACACCATTAGGATTTTGACGTCACAGTTTACAATTTACAAAATTCAATTTGTTACAGATTACCTTTTTCAACTTACTGTTTACAATAATCATTTACCATTTTAAATTTCCATCATCTGTTAGTGATTTAACATTGGCAGACTTTTCTCTCAGTTCCTTCTCCTGACCTTTGAGCATAACAAAGAAAAAGGAAAAATAATCATTTCTGGGGTTGCTACCATTAGAATTATCGGTAATAATTTATTACTTTTGGAAGGAAGTTCTTACATCATTTCTTATCTTAACTTTTGGAAGTTGTTACCTTCAAAACTTTACAGTAGGTTTTGTGTTTATGCCCAGGTAACAACTGTTAATAGTATTAACTTTGACTTTGAATGCAAGTTTTTTAGTCATTCCTGATGTTTACCGAAGCTTTTAAAATTCGAAAAGTATTGACTGTTTTCTTATCATGCAATAATTTTAATGTTTTTTTGTGTCCAATGTTTCTAAACTTTAAACTGCTATTAACCCCATCTAAGCACAGACCTATAAACAGAATTCTAAAACATATAAGTTCAAAGTGACAGTTTCAAAGCTGTCAAATTGAAAAGAATAATTTATTCCCTTAACAATGATAGACATTCAAAGCATGAGTAACAATACTAAATCAAAATAACTAAAAAAAAAATGAACTGGTTATTTACACACTGCAGAAAAGGAATTGACATTTGTATTGGCTTAAACCAGTTTTCAACAACCTTAAAATAAAGGCCTTACCACTATTATATACACCTTGTGACATATTGTAATGCCATTAATAAACAAAATTAACTTTAACCCTTAAATCCCCGCTATCAACCTTACAAATTCTCTAGACTGATCTCTGTACATTTCCTTAAAGAATATTAGTTGAGAGAATTTGATAAAAGGTCAAAACACTAAATGAATTTGGTGATCATTTATTTATTCATTCCCGTAACCTCTCTTGATGATAAATTAATTAAAACTAATTGATGTTGTTGGGAAAAAAATAGACCTTGTCACTGATACAGTGGCCATATTGGAGTATTGTGGTATGCCCAAGGGGGAACTAGCTCAGTATCTACATGCACTTTCTGATGCCAGTATATCAGATCATGCTCATGCCCCCTGGGCATCCCATAATACTCCTTAAATCCATTATTAATTCAATATGGCTGCCATATCGGTAAAAAAGTCTATTGATATTGCTCACTCTTGGCACTTCCAGGTTACTGGTAACCCAAGAGTGACCAACGTCAATTTTCAATTCGAGGGCGAGGACAACTACAGGGACAACCTTTAACTTTAAGTTTCCATGCCTGTTCTCTTAAAATAGACACCCTGGAAAGCATCATAGTACTTTTTTTCACCACAAAAGTTAGTTAGGTTATTTCCGTCGAAGGAGGCAAAGCCCTCTCCTGATCGCTAAATGATAAAATTCCTAAAATTGGCCCCTACGACATTCTTAATAAAACTCATAGTAGAATGATGATGGCTCTCGCATCTTTCCGCCAAAATGACATTAGTTTGCACGAGTGCACCACTTAGTATTGGGAAAATCTCTTTCTCGTAGTTGTCCTCATCTTAGAAATAAGAATCTAAAGCTCTCTACAAACAATAACAATATTATTATTGTTAACAGGGAGCTTAACCAAAGACGATGGCAACGGCAGNATATCGGTAAAAAAGTCTATTGATATTGCTCACTCTTGGCACTTCCAGGTTACTGGTAACCCAAGAGTGACCAACGTCAATTTTCAATTCGAGGGCGAGGACAACTACAGGGACAACCTTTAACTTTAAGTCTTCATGCCTGTTCTCTTAAAATAGACACCCTGGAAAGCATCATAGTACTTTTTCTCACCACAAAAGTTAGTTAGGTTATTTCCATTGAAGGAGGCAAAGCCCTCTCCTGATTGCTAAATGATAAAATTCCTAAAATTGGCCCCCTACGACATTCTTAATAAAACTCATAGTAGAATGGTGATGGCTTTTGCATCTTTCTGCCAAAATGACATTAGTTTGCACGAGTGCACTACTTAGTATTGGGAAAATCTCTTTCTCGTAGTCATCCTCATCTTAGAATCTAAAGCTCTCTACAAACAATAACAATAATTATTATTATTGTTAATAGGGAGCTTTACTAGAGAGCTTAACCAAAGATGATGGCAACGGCAGCGAGAACATCAAAAAAGCAGTAGGATTAGATCAAGAGAAAAGGATGACAACTAATAAAAAGATCACCTAAATGAAAATACTTTGATCTTAAAACAAGTTCTCTTCACAAGTTCTTCAATAAAATGTATGGTGATCAGTACGGAGAATATGTAGGTGGATATTGGGGCAGGGTTAAAGAGTGAATAAGCTAAGGGTGTGTGGGATAAAAGGCTCCATGTGAACTTACATCACACGGAACTTTTCCTTTACAAACAAACATAACTTAAAGGAATTGAATGTACATATAGTATCTACCAGTTTATCAAAGCCACTTCACTTTTTTTGTACAATTCCTAAATAATAATTACTATTATTATTTAGTTCTTGTTTATGTCTTGTGGGACAGAAAAATGAATTTAAACAACATTATCACCGCCTTTCTCGTTTCCATTGCCTTTGGTTGGTACGGTCCTTTGGTTGAGTTGAGCTTTCATCTCTGAGTGTTTCACGACAGTATAAGCAGTTGACCCGCCAATCACCAGCATGTTGCTAAGCCACCAGAGTCCTGTTTTTATTTCCTGATTAACGGTGACTGACAGAATGGTCTGGGCACAGGCCTTTGCAGTTCCACTCACATTGTGCGTCAATGGGCTCGTTACCTTGATTTGTAGACCTGTCACATATCCAATTGCAATTCCAAAAAGACCGCCTAAGGTCATCATTCCCCAAAAGTACGCGGATGTAATCATTTCAAAACCATAAATAGCTTTGACGTCACCACAGATGACCATAAGTGGCAGAAACAGAAAAATTGCATTAAAGTTGTTGTAAAGTTGCAGGCGCCAGATATTATTGTCGACAAAAGGCAGTACTTTTTTGGTGTAGATTGCATTCAAACAAACACACAGGCTTGCCAACACACCAAACAGGACACCCATGTATGAGAGCTCTCCTGAACTCCCCTCCTGGTCAACTCCCAAAAGAAAACCTGAAATGATTATGGCACAGCAAAGCATGGCTTTGATAGACGTCTTTTGGCCAAGAATGATATATGTGCAGATCTAGGAAAAAGTAAAAGATAAAAAGTCTTAATTTTAAAACAAATTTTCTTCATTACAGTAGAATCCTGAATTCTTGAATACTTGCTTCTCCAAAACACCTGTAATTTGAACTGATACTAACTCCCTTCACCAGTCAAACATCATGATTTTCCCTGAATTATTTTAACTTCGCTATAACTTAAACCTTTTTGCTTTTCCCAAGAAGGTTTGAAAAATTGGGATTCTACTGCAGTTCTAAAAGAAATACAGGTAAACTCATTCTCAGAATTGCTTATAACTACTTATATTTTTACTGTACCTTTTTTTTGTTTCCTTTCTTAGAAATAAATGATAAACAACTTTCATCTATCTATTGTCTGTAAGCTCTGCATGTTTCATGACAATATTATTTTTATTTCATACAGTGGAACCGTGATCAAACCTCTATTATAACCTCTACAAGACCTCCGTATAACAAAAGATTCTCTTAACCCAAGTAATAGTAAAATATATGAAAAATAACCTTGATAATATTATAACAAAACCTCGATATACGCTGTCGCAAGCAAATTTAGCTAGTCCCTTGTCCCTTTGTTAGAACAGCGATGTATAAGCACTATATAAATTCCATTATTATTATGATATCAAGGTTAGACTGTAATAGCCCTCAAATTTATGGTCTTGTTTGTTAGCTTATGGTTTTATGAACTTCTGTTGTATCAGACTGGATCCAAGATGTCTGCCAACAAAATATCTGTTGAAGGATTGGGTCAGTTTATGACACTTTTGAGCTAATACAAAATTTAATAATTTGACAGAAAAAAAAAAGACAAAACAAAATGAAAAACCCAAATAATTGTACACTGTTAAAAGAAGAACTCTTGTCTCTAGAGTAATGGTAACTTATTATATAATTTTTCTTACCACATTGAAAACTGTTGTTAGGGACCTTCCAACATTGTAAAAGGACACACCAAGATGTTTGAGGCACAAGTTATTGAAGGTGATCATTCCAACAAAAACAGCTGATAGGGGAAGGACCTAGGCAAAAGAGATAATTATTTTGAAATAATGATGAGGGCAGTATTGGAGATTTACCTCAGTATTGTGTGCTGTGATTGGTCAATTTAGCCAGACTAACAAGTCACGTACCCACCTGTCTAGCAACTTTCAGGTCAATGGAAAAAGCTGGGAACTTATCTATCCAGGGATAATCTTCTCCCAGGAAACTCAGCAGAAACAAACAAACTAGACACACTACACACTGAAACCATGTGACAAACAATGGTGCATCAAGCTGAAAAGCAAAAGAAAGCAACAAACAGGATCAAATGACTGCAGATGGCATCCTCATTGGGAGATTTTCTACAAAGCAGTCATGCTGAAAGGAGAGACATTGGAGGGGGGGGTGGGGGTTGGAAATTAAACTATTTCAGAAATCACCCAGGAAAATCTGTGTATTGCTGTGCTTTCAATCATTCCTTTGCCCAAAACATGTTTTTTATTTAAATGAAAGTTAATTTTTATTCAAGGAGCTTTCAAAAATATTCAAGGACTTCTGTGGAAAATTCAAGGACTTTTCAAGGATATCCAACAATTTTTCAATTTTCGAGAACTTTACAAGCCCTGTGCGAACCATGCCTGTATCCCAGACATAATCTAACCCCAGCTAGTAACTTCTGTGAAGCAGCACTAAGATTTTTGTTCTGGCCAGAAGCAGACTAAAAAATTACCACATGTGTTTTGAATTTCCCTTTAACGTAACTGGCCAATTGAAAAATGGCTTTTTAACTGGCCAGCCATGGTGCATACTCAAATTCTGTTACACAGTGAAGGATCTAGCACAAGGATTTGGATGCTGGCTCAAAGAAGGACTTAAACAGAGGATTAGTTCTGTCCATGGCACAGGCTATCCTAAAAGGTATTAGTATTCTGTTTTGTGGGGGGTAGCAACTTAAACTCTAAACGTGGGTTTTCATTGGTGACAGAATTGGTATCAGAGTCAAAAGCAAAGTTGTCCAAGTGCTTATGACTTAGTGAATATCAAAAATCGGCTCTAGATGAGTTTAGGAGATGAGTGAAAATAATGGTTAATGGCAAAAATATAGGTGGAGGCGACCACTGTGTCACTTTTGGATGAAAGCACGACTGCAGTTACCCCAACCGGGAAGCAATAACAATGTGAACCTTGAAAAAACTCAAGAAGTGCATTTTGCAGGGCTAAAATTTATAAAATAATTATTGGTACAAAACTGCCATGCTGGAGAGCAAGGGATGCACTGGAACAAGACGAATGAAGAGCTCACAACATTCTCCTTAGTTTGTCTTTTCCAATTGCATCCCTTTTTCTTTATCATGGCTGGTTTGGACTATGTGAATGACTAGCTGCAAAGGGCCTAATGAAGGGGTTTAATAAAAAGGTTTAAAGGCTTGTTTATAGTGGAAAGTGCATTTAGCTTATGCAGCTAGTTTACAGGTACTGCACTCAAATACTTAGGCCTGGTTCAGATACTGTACTTTTCATGGCCTAAACCTACCGGTACCTGAATAAGTTCCACTTCGGAGCGACACTGGTGCGACATCTGATTCAGACAGTGCACCGTGTGCCGAACTTAAGTTAAGTTCGACAACAGTTCGACAGACTCTGTCAAACTTTTGCCGCACCAAACGCTTTTGCCGCACCTAACTAAAACTGACAGACCAAATTGATTCAGACGCCACTCTTTTGCTGTACTTAATTCATGGGTTTAGGTTCAGCACATGAGTGGAGCGGTGTCTGAACCTGGCCTTAGAAGCAAATAATTCAAATACAACATAACAGGATTAAAAACCCCAACTGGCAGCAGACAAACAGTTGGCTGGCCTAGGATTTGGACTCAGGACAAGCGAGAACAGATCCAGCAAGTGGCCAGAGCGAGACTTGAACCCGACACAGCACTGGAATTTGACAATTTGGTGGAATAATCCTAAGGGAATCATAAATAGTTTAATATGAATAGGGTTGAAACATGTATGCATGTAAATGTATGGGGTTACACAGAAATCTTACCAAAGGGCAGGCTCACTTCCTAAACAGAGGCTCTGACATTAATTGATAAAATGGATCGTCTTTAAATTCATCGATTTCTGCGGTATACCATTACTTCTACATTTACTAAGTTATTCACAAAAATAAAATTAAGCTTAAACTAGGGCAGATATGATGAACATTTCAAAATTTTTCTCACAGAAATTATTTTTACCTTCAAATCCGGACTGCTTAGCAAGTACTTATTCAAAAACACCATGGATATGGAAATCACCCTAAACATACAGAAAAACAGCAAAATTAATAGCTGGAACCTAAAATTTGGAAGCTCATTACAAAGTTTTACAACGTGGCAACGCTTCGCCGCCTAAATTAACAAATCATTCTTATATGTGCGATTGTCTGAGCCATTTTCTTACCAATACAGTGAAACAACTGCCGCTATTCTTACAGACTTCGCAAAAACAGACTCCGTCATTTTATTTTTGCCCGCACCTCAGCCGATAAAACTCTAACGATGTGCAAAGAAGCCGGCAAATGCAAGAAAGAAAGGGACGAGGAAACGTAAATTAACAAGGTGGGCGCGAAAACTTTGTCCAGCGGTTTATTAGTAACCATGCGTAATGTCGTGTAAGCCAGTGTAATTAATTAAATGGCTGACTCTCCACGAGGGTTCGAATAGATAGTCTTGCTTTCTTCGATCTGTGTTCTCGCCGCTCTTCAAGACTATGTGTAGTGTTCAAGAAAACGAGGATTTAGAAAACGTTCCGACTCGTCTGGAAAACAAACCAGTCAAGGAAAACTTTGGAGGCTGCCGCACGTGTATGAAATGCTTGCTCAACAAAGCAGTGGTCGTTGTTCGATTGAATGATCCCCTCTGTAAGCCGTGTTTTCTTGCGTATTTCACGCACAAATTCCGTGCCACGATCGGAAAGGCACGTGTGATCAGGGCAGGCGAAAAAGTTTTGTTGGCTTTTTCTGGTGGGCCTTCTTCCAGCGCTATGTTACACTTGGTATGTGAAGGATTGAGCCCAGGAGCGCCCAAAAAGCTTCGTTTTGAACCAGGAATCGCTTTCATTGATGAAGGGGAAATTTTGAAGCCAACCAGGGAAGAACGGCAGAAATACATCGAACGAATTCGAGGTATAGCATCAAAGACAGAATTTCCTTTTCATCTGTTTAATTTGGAGGACATTTTTACCTTGGAGAAATCTGCACAAGATGACGCAATTTGTTGCAAGAAATTTGAAAAACAAGAAAGTGGTAATGATTCGGCAGAAAAACTTTCAAACCTTTTTGACGTGACCTTATCTATGACTGCAAAGGAAGACCTACTGAGAACATTGCGATGTCAGTTACTTCTTGCAACTGCCAGGAAAGAAGGTTATTCAAAAGTAATGTTAGCTGACTGTGCCACTCGCATATCAATCCGGCTGTTGTCTGATGTCTCTCAAGGAAGGGGTGCTGACCTGCCATTTGACACTGGCTTTAGTGACAACCGTCATGGTGATGTCACCTTGATAAGACCAATGCGTGAATTTGCGACCAAGGAAATTGCACTGTATAATTTCTTCAACAGTGTGGAAACTGTGCCAATAACAACACTAGGAACAATGAGCCATACTCATGCAAGTATTGATCGCCTGACAGAAGAGTTTGTGACTGGTCTGCAGGCTGACTTTCCATTTACTGTCAGCACAATTTTTAGGACTGGAGACAAGTTATCAGCAATGGACTCCTCAGATGATACAACAAACTGTGCCTTCTGTGGAGTTCCCATGAATCTTGGACCCAACCATTTTTCAACTCTCAGTGATTCTAAGCTTGATTCTAAGCTTGATATTGGGGCATCTTCATTTGTGGGTGATTGTGACAGTGGGTGTTCTAGCTCATCATCAGGTCGCTGGTTGACCAAACAGCTTGTTCTTGAGACATTCTGTTATGGTTGTCAGCTGACCTTTAGAGATGTAAAGTTCAACCCCAATGATCTGCCAGCCTATGTTGTAGAAACTGCCAACAAAATTCTACAGAGAGCCCAGATGAAAGAACAGATTAAAGATTTCTTATTAGATGATAGTTGACCTCTATGGTCTATGATCTTGTGTGCGCGAAGGGAATGGGTAGAGTTATGCCATCTCTTTCCTCTAGCCTTGGGACTGAGACGACAATCATAATTCAAAATGTAACAGGCAAAATCTACAGAAAGACCTGGTACATGCTCAAAACATATTATGTTGTGGTTCAGTTTTATCCTCAGTTTAAATTTTATTTCCGTTTGTTTTGGGGTTTGGTAATGTATGGTAATGAATTTAAAACAAAGGGAAATAAAAATTAAACCAAGGATAAAATTGAACTACAACATAATTAACATTGAAAGTTATTATATCTGATTTGTTTGTTTGAATGTGCATGTAGGTGTGTCAAATAAAATTGTTTCTCAGGTTAAACCAGTGAGTTAGCTCTTTGGTAGAGATCTCACCCTGGTAACCAAGGTTTACAGCTGTTTCGGATTACACGCATTCTTTGATGTTCCTGTAAATTTTCCTTTACACTAGATGTTTTCATAATGTTAGATTTTGAGAACAATGTTGTTACTACAATGTATGTAGTAATAATAATATAAAAGACATTGTTCAGGGGTTTCAATAAAATTTGAAAGATACGGCAGTGCTGACTGTATCAACAAGGTTTAGATGAATCTTTCCTTTTGATTACTTCAGTAGACCATTTTACAGTTGTGGGCTTAGTATCCTAGCCTTTAAGTGGATGTGAGGCTGAGGTTGACTTTGTTTTGATACAAACCTCTTTCCTTTTCTTATTTAAATTATGCTTAAATTACGTAGTTAGCATAAGAAAAACCTGATTTACATAATAAATCAGGAGGGGTTGTATTAAAGCAAGGTCAACTCCAGCCTCTTTTTCCACTGTAACTGTAAAATGCCTCTTAGCAAAGTAGCTAAAGCTTCTTATTTTCCAATCAGTGCTTATATTGTAAGCATTGGTTATCTGAATGAAATAATTTTATTTAATTTTCACTCAATGCAAACCATTGTAACCTTAGTTTCCAGAGCCTCCTGGCCCATTATTATACTAACTACAATTGACTTTCCTTCAAGCCCGCAAGCAAGCTCTCTATTCATGGTAAGTGAAGTGAGCTGCAAGAGAACATGCACAAGAAAATGTTCTCGCATCTCCTTTTTCGTGCTACTCTCTGGCCACTTCTCGCATTTCCCCCAAATGGAGAACTTGCTAGCTGGCTACTTTCCTTCTCTAATCAAAAACACTGAAATTTTTTTCTCCAGTTCACATGAACTCCTCTATGGGTTTGCCAACCGCCTGTCTGCCGATTTTACACCACCCCCTGGACTGGAAGGGAGAAATAGCCTTATATGACGGAGAAAGGGCGATGACGAATACCGCTGGCCTGAACCAGGCTCAGTTTCTTGTTATCCGACGACGAACGTCACTTCATTCCAGTCAAAATGATCAAACTTGCAGAGTGGATTATATTTGCTGGACTAGCGTTTTCAATCTGGATTACATTATTAACAGATATTCTACCTCTTAAAGTATCTTACAAAGCGAAAGAAGTGATATGGCCGGTAAGTTTAGAAATGTTTGACTGCACGTGTGGTATAAAAACTATCCACAGACAATCGTGGAATTACTTGAGCCTATCTATTATAGCTTAAAACAATTTGCCTCTGAAATGATTTATTTTTTACAGATGCCAGTATATGCCCTGATAGTCTTTGGAGTAAGTAAATTGTATTTTATTTTCCTTTAATTTTCAGTTGTTTACGTGTAATCTTGCTGTCGAGTCCATAGCTTAGAAGTTGTAGCCCTACGTTTTTCTTTTCGTTTGCAGTGTTATTCTTTAGCAACTATAGGATACCGTGTAGCGACCTTTAATGACTGCGTAGAAGCCTCTGAATCTTTGAAGCAGGT